TTGGTTGGGCAGCCCCTGCCCCAGTCCCTCCCTCACAGCGGGGGCCTTGATCTCCCTACCCCACACCCGTTGTCCCCAAGTAGGCTTACCAGCCAGACACTGCTCTCCAAGCTACCAGGCTGCATATCAGGAAACAGATCAGTATCGGTTGATATGACTGGTCAATAATCGGCCATCAGCATCGGCCCAAAAAATCTTTATCACTGCACCCCTGTGCAGAAAAACCAGAAAAATTAGTGTTCCAAGCTATGAACCTTCATACTAAAAGAGAAGGAACTATAGAATGATTTTTTTTCTTTTACTGAATTCATCTGTTCATACTACAGTCATTGGTTTCTGAGAAATATCTGATTGGATTTACTCCAAATTATCCAGTATACTAGCCTAGTTCTTCCAGCTTTAAAAACAGGCAAAATTGGAAGCATGTGTTACCAGATTACATATTGTTGCTTAAGATTGTAACTTCTCAGAGGAAAAGTGACAAATTAGTAATGCATGATGAGATTCCACTCAAAATGAATAGGTAACTATCAAATCTGTCACTTCTGTAAACGCATTTTCATTCTTTTAACAAGAGACTAGAATCTTGGAGAACTTTGAGAAAAGATCATCTGCATGCTAATTTAGCTGAATAACCTAATGCTGAAGTTCCTAATTATGAGTAGAACTTAATATTTGGAGAAGTAAAAATGTTTCATCATCAGGAATATATAATTCCTATGAAATGTCTGGATCAAAATCAACAACAATGTGGGAAATCGGTTCCTGTTTACATGCCTAATTTAATTATGCTATTCGCAGTTTTCTGAAAATAAAAATTTAGTTGAATGACAATAAGAAGTGAAAAGAGTAGTATGTTACTTTATACTTGACACGGTTCATATTTTTGTTCATCTAATAAAAGAAACTTTTTTAAATATAAAAAAATCTAACAGAAACAAAAGATGTGCATTTTTTGTTTCGTTTTTGTCTTTTTTAATGCTTATGTCCATTATTTTAAATATGGAGAAAAGCTGTTTTTAGAGATTTAGAATAAGCATACGCAGAAGTATTTGTTATCTGGTAGAACAAGGTCAGCAATGGTTTTTGGTAGGAGGCATGGAATGATCCAGCTCGGGTCTGAGGTGCCTGGGCACTAAGACCTGGCTGTCTCGACCACTTCTCCCTTCTGCCTGGCTGCAGCACAGTGCCAGGAGAGTTCTCCATCCATGGAAACCCAGGACACCTAGCTGCAGTGTGGCACAGGCAGAACCACCCACAACCATCAGATCCAATAGTTTTGTGGGCCAGATCTAGCCCACAGACCGTAGATTGCCAACTCCTGTTCTTGAAGATGTAATCATACTTGCAGAAGATGTTTTTATTGCTAACTGTTTTATTCAAGCTTCTAGATTTTAGCTTTTTTATTGTTTAGATTATTGTTGTTTTAAGCCACAAATCAGTTGTGTTGCAACCTTCAAGACACTTTGGGACTGATTTTTCAAAAACTTGCTTCTGAGTAAAGTGTGTATAACTGGTTATAGTGACAACAATCATGGCAACCAACATTGTACTTGGAAAGATTCTGAAAACCTTCCAGTCCTGTGTTCAGAAAGCTGATTAATGATGTTTGTGCTTTTGAAAATTTTGCGGTGTTTACTGTGATCTAATCTTCAACAAATGTAGAGGGTTAAAACAAGGAAATAGCTGATAGGACAGTTGAGCTCAGTTGTCCTGTTACTGTGGTATGTGGCTCTCTCCTGATATTCCAAGGCTGTACACTTTATTCTTTAAGACATTATTTTTCATTTTAATGTACTTTTGTTTGTTTTTCATTTTAATGTACTTTTGTTTGTATAGCAAACATAATAATCTTTTGGGGGGGAACTGCATAAATATAGTATATATCCTGGAAATTCTGGATAAAGTAGTTCAATTTCTGCCAATATAGAGAGACAGTATCTCTTTAATTCTGCTTGGCTTTATAATAACTGGTAAAACATTGTAGCGTAACACACAAGGAAAGTGATTCAAATTCATGTTATGAAAAGAAATTGCTGCTGGAACAAGTTTAATTGAAAACCAAATCCAGCCAAACAATACAAAAGTCCCATCCTGAAGCTGTCATTTTTTCCTACCCCAGTGATCCTCCAACTGTGGTAAATGTATCCCTAGGGGTACACAGCACTACCAAGGATTAATTGCCTATATTTTACTAATGACAGTGGAGCTTCTGATTGGTCAGTGTGCAGTGAGTAATGGTGTTGCCATGCATCAGTATCAACAGAGACATGTCAAATACAGAGGTACAAACTGCAGTATTTTTCAGGTAAAGTGGTCCTAGAAAAAATATGAAAACCACTGCTCTATCCCAATTATTTTTTAAGCATGAGTGAAACCCCACTATTTGAAATATCTCCACATTCAGAAGTGGTGACCATTCTCTGATGCCATTTTTGGTTTAAGGGCCATCTGCACTCTAACCACCTACTTTCCTGCTTAAGCTGTATAGTAGGGGTATCTGTGCTGCTGCAGTGGTAAGAGCAGACACCTGGGAGCCATTGTCAATGGCAAGGTCAGTGTGCTATTCTAGAGATCAGTCGTGCATGTCATTGTGTAAACTTGATTCAGGCCTCAATCACCAGCAGTTCAAGACCTTTTTAGAAGACTCTGGAGTGGAATTTGGAAATGTGCATTTCAAGGCACTTTGATAGCTAGGTGCAGGAGACCCTGCCAATGCCCTTTTCTTTTGAGGAAAAAATGTTTTTTGTTTTGAATTTCTGAATGAAAAAGGACTAGACTTACTTCATCTGACTAATACTAAGTGACTGTAGGATTTCTCCTTTTCTGGTCTTCTCAGTTAATTGAATTGGAAGCTTCAAGGCCAGGAGAAGTTTGCTTCAACTCTTTTTGACAGTGTTAAGTCTTCTGGAAAAAAATTAAAACTACTGTAGAAGTAGCCAAAAGAAGTCTATGTTGTTCATTTTTCACCGTGCTAAATATTTCTGGATGAAGAACCCAGTGCATCCAAAGTTCCATGTTATAAAAGTATTTCCAGATCATTCAGCATTTGTTGAAAGAATTCAGCTGGCACTTCTTAGATTTTAAATCTCACAAGCAAGCTCTGGCTATATTTAAAAATCCTTTTACATGTGGCCCAGAAAGTACTCCAACAGCCATGCAGTTAGAATTGAGCAGCTTGCAAGAGCGCAAAGCAAAAGCATCATACTATAAACTTAATCTGGCTGAGGTTTATAAAAAAACTATCCCCCAAAACCTACTCTGTACTATGTAGACATAGACAATGCATGGCTTCTCTATTCAGAAGCATGTAGGTATGTCAGAGAGCCTTCTCTACAATGAATACAAACAAGTCTAAATTTAAGATTCATATGAACCACACTGAAGATCATTTTCAAATGGTTCTCCATATTCCAACATCAGGTATTGAACCAATACCAACAAGGTATCTGAGAAAAGCAAACTGAATAGAACTTACTCTATGGAGCTTTGTCAATTTTTTGCAGTATGTGTTTGTCTATAATTTCTATAATTTTTAATTGATTTAATTTTAATTAATAAATGGCAAAATGATTATAGTTATTGAGCTTAACACTTCACGTGTTATCTGGTAAATCTATAAACCTGTGTGATAGTATAAGAAAATTGTTATTCTGTGCTTTCCATTTTTACCTGAAATTGAAATGAAATATTTTTAAAAACTGTCTGTGTGTGGCCTGCCACCCAAGACTGCCTTTTGAAATGGCTCGTTAGGGGTGCAACTTTAAGAATCCATCTCTAAATGAAATACTTTAATTGAAACTAATGATGCACCACTTGTTTTTAGTTTCTGGAAAGCTCTTAATAACTTGTATATGAAATGTTACTTAGTAGATCCTGATTCCTGAAATTAAACCCCCTTCTAAGTCCAGAGAAATCTGAAGAACTATGTGATTGTGAGACTGCTCTTTCTGGGTGGGGGAGGAGAACTGGACTCCTTTAAACAATTTTCTAAACTAGGTCAAAGATATTTTACTCCCATCTGAAAGTTCAGTGTGTCGCCTTGTTTTATTTGGATCTAATATTAGTAATATAGAGTCTTTGTATTACTTCTGGGAAATGTCATGTGAAGGGAAAGATTGGTATGCTTTACTGAAGTACAAAGATTTATGAAAATATATACAATCAGTTATTTTTAACATCCTGCTTTTTTCCTAATAGATTTCAAGAAATTCTAAAAAGTTTATTTGTCAACCGTGAGGAAATCAGAAAAGAGCATCTCAAGCTGGAAATGCAACTGAAAGAAAATGCTATTAAGACATACTACCAGAAACAATGCCATGAACAAATTCAGCTGATGTGCTCTGAAGAGAGAATTGAAAAGGTGAGTGATTTGTAATGTACCATAATGTGTTGCCTCATCATTTTCCTATGTTACCGGGTGAAAGCAATATGTAAATTTACACATATATTAAATAATTGAATTTAGGCTTTTGAAAGTATCCGAAAAACTCCAATTTCAGAATCTCATTTTCAAAAGTGATGTAGACCTTTAGAAGCACAAATCTTGTCAAAATCTTTTATCAAAAAGTATTTTAGGTTCTTAACTCTGAACTGCCAAATTTTCTTAATACCCATGTGGTCCTGAGCTGATGTATATGCTTTAAGATGCAAACATAATATAACTTTTTAAATCTTAAAACAATATAAATTGTAAATTGCAATAAAATATTCTCTACTTCAGTGTGATTTTATTTAACTATGTTATATTAACTTTGCTCTGTTACATCAGAAATGAGGAAATAATGTGTCTAACCATTGTTCCAATAAATATGTGCTTGACATTTTTTTTAATGAAAATTGTCTTAATTTTCATTGGTTCAAACATATATCTTTAACAAAACAGTATGGCATACACTGTATTGACAATGGGATAACATTTTAACAGTTGATGTTACTACATAAAATGTGCTGTTGATGTGGGGTACACTATTTTTTCACACAATAAAGGAATGTTTTGACAATTATTTTGCAGCTAACCATGAAAATCTCACAGCATCTCAAGTTTTTTTTTTTTTTCTAATTTAAGCTTCACAGTTGCTACTTTAAGAGCTAATGAAATTCAGCAGACCCATGCTGATTTTTGTCCAACAGTAAACTTACCAGCATGGTAGCACACCGGATGGTGGTTTGTTTAGCTCCACCGGAACTAAGAAGTGCATTCATAGTACTGTGCTCATCACCAAAAAGGGAGTATTGAGCTGAATTTTCATCTTGCAACTTGGATCTGGGGAACTTTTAGGAGATGCTTAAGAACAGAGGCAAAAGAGAATTACCTCTTCCTAAAATTTCATCAGTAGCCTTGCATTTTAAGATGGATAAAATTCATACTTTTTTTTTTTTTAAGTAATTGCCTTTCTACAGTATACATACCCTGATCTTTTTAAAACAGGAGTCAGCAGCCTATGGCCCACAGGCTAGATCTGACCCATGGAACCTTTGAATTACACCTGCAGACATGGGGTTTCAGGGTTAGGCTCTTTCTCAGTGCTGCTGTAGGGCAGGTGTTGGCAGTGGGTGCTTTCCCTGTGCCACTTCAGGGACAAGCACCAACAGCAGGCAGGTCTTGCAGCCAGAAAAGGTTTTATGCCCTTATTCTAGAAGAACAAAAGTGCAAGTAATAAAATCTGATTACAACCCTGTCTTAATTTAGGTTCTAAATATGAACTTGGGTTTTAAACTACATATATTTGTAAATGTTATCCTTATTTGCAGTTAGTCATAATGACACAATTTAACAGGAATCACAATTTACTTTGCTTTATACTTTGTTTTTCTTGAATAAGTTACAGTTCAGTATTGATGTTTTTTAAATGTCAAGATAAACTCACTGTTTCAGGCATCTCTTGCTTGTCATAACTGGTGATTTAAGTAACTAACTTATTCTATGATCTCTCATGTCACAATTTTCATTGCATGGATCTCTAAAGCACTACGTTAAAATATTTTATCCTTGCACTTTTTTCTCAAGCATATATTGCAATGGATATTTGTATATTGGTTCAAGCACTTTGTATAAAACTTATGTGGTTTTTACATTAAGCTTTTGTGCTGCTGCACTTTAATGTAGTTTTATGACTACAGTTTAACTTATTGTCATAATTCAGTTAAGGTTAGCTAGGATAAGTGCAATACTCTGTTAACAAAAATAAGTCACTGCAACTTAAATGGAATGTCCTTTTGAGGCTGCTTGGGCTGAACAAATGGGATTTTAATTTGGATTCCAGTTGTTTGATGTCAGAGTGATGGTTCATCATTCCCTTGTGCTCTATAACGCTTCTGTTAAATATATTGTTGCAGATGTGTTCTTTCAGGTGTCTCTGTTTGATTTATTTCTGTAAAATGTACTAATGCATCATTAGAATATCTTAGAAATGTTTCACGTAAAACAAATAAGGAATGTTTGCCAATTTTACTAATATTGAATGCTTAGAGTGTTATATGTGTTAATTTATTATGCAAGTTTGTCTCTTCAGCTTCCATGCCAATCCTAGGCAAACCTCATTTTTGGAGGTGTAGAACCTGACTATGGTTTGAAAACAAATATAGGAAGTCTCAATTTGAAAGGAGATTTTTGAGAAAATAGTGAATTGAAAATTAACTCTTAAGTAAATTTGGGTTGCCCTTCCTTTGGTACTTGATGTCATATATGTTAATTTCTTGCAAGGGTTGTGTTATGATGGCTGAGATTAACAAAATATAAGGTATCTGATGAAGTGAACTTAGGTTCATAAAAGCTTGTTCTCTAGATATGTCTTATTTAAGATAAATTGCAAAACTACCGTGCCTTCTGATTGACTTCAGGTTAGCACAGCTAATTTCCTCTCTCTGAGATTAACAATTTATAGTAAATCCTAAAACACATACTGGGATATGACCCTCTTGCACACTACTGCTTCTAGCTCTAGCTTCTTTTCTTGGCTTATGCACATTACTCCTTGAAAAGAGTTTGTTTTCTGTCCCCATAGCTAATAGCTCTCTCTCCATCTTTTTTAATTTTCATCTCCTCTGCCTTATTTACTACTGGTGCTTGACTTTTTTGTCTCCTTTTAAGAGTCAAAAGTTGTTTTGCAGCTGTTGCCATTATCCCTTCAACAGCCTTTTTATGCGATATCTCCCACTGTTGTATTTGGTCTCTTT